CGTCATCACTCACTTTTGCATCCCTTCCCTTTCTAGAACCATGGGTGTGGCCAAGGCCTTCAGCACAGCCTGGCTTCCCTGACTTAGCATCTGGCTTCCTCCCTGACTCCAGCTTCTCAAGTCTCCCATCTGTTCTGCACGTACCACGCAGCTGATCTTTACTGCACTCCATACTCACCATGTGGCTCCCCTGCTGTACAGCTCCGACTTCAGCACATGGAGTCTAAGATCCCATCCAGGTATCCCACATCGAGCACGTGGCAGTGCATCTCCACCTTTGCCTGCACTCTAACTACGCTGGCCCGCCAGTGAGCACCAGCCTGAGTGCCACTCCCTCCAAAGGGCCCACCCTGGCTTCTTCTCAATTCTGAATCACGGCACTCACAGAGTCTGTGCCACACAGTCTCACTTTTGATTTTCTCTGTCACTTGATTGTTTTAAAGCCTTGAGTCTTCTTCCCATAAGACCATAAGCTCCTTGAGATCAGAGACCTCAAAGGCTTATAGGGAGCACCCAGGGATACTCAGAAGTCATCTTCCTCTATGAGCTCCTGAGGAGAAAAACAAACCGTTTCTACTCCAAAGGCCTTGATGGAAATCTCCAGATGCCCCTGCCAAGTCATTCTTAAGAACTTCTGGATAAAGGGCAGAGGGAACCCTTTAAAAAATGTATGTAATTGTGGCTTTTGTGGTGGATAATATATTCATCTGGCTCAAAACTTAAAATGAAGTCAGCCTCCCACCTTTGTTTCTCAACCACCCAGTTCCCCCATTGCGAGGCAAACAATGGACTGGATTCTTATTTATTTTTCAATAAGTATTCCAGCAAATACAAGCCAATACGAATAGATCCTCCTTTTCTCCCCTCATTTTTTAAATACACAAGCTAACATGCAATACATATTGTTCTCCATCTTGCATTTTGTTAAACAATGTATCTCAGACATCATCCTGTATCAGGCCTAGAGACCTTCCTCACTCTTTGTCTTGCGGCTGTGTGGTGTTCCAGTGCAGGGATGACCCTGATTTATTTAACCAACCTTCCGTTGTTAGATGGGGAGAGTGTTTCCAGTCTTTTACTACCATATGCAATGCTGCAAAGAATAGCCTTGTTCAGATTTAATGTCATATATGTGAGTGTATCTGTGGGACAAATCCCTAGAAGTAGAATTGCTGGGCCAAAAGGTAAGGTGAATATGTAATTTTGATTGTTCTCCAAAGAGGTTGTATCATTTTACACTCCAACAAGCAAAGTACGAGGGTGCGATCTCCTAACACCCTTACCAACCTAGTATGTGAAAACTTTCATTTCAGTGTAGTTTGATTTGCACCACTCTCCTCGTGAAGGTGGCTGAATAGCTTTTATAGTCGTGTGTGTGTGTGTGTGTGTGTGTGTGTGCGCGTGTTTATGTGGACTCTGTTTTTATCCTCTGTTCACTTTTCTTTTGTGTTCTTCGCCTTCTTCTAATCAATGTAGAGGAACTCTTTGTATATTAAAGGATTTAGCCCTTTGTTATATGACCTGTAGATAATTTCCCCAGTTTGTTGTCTTTTGACCTTGCCTTTGGGCTGTTGCTAGGTGGAATTGTTTATTTTTCTATAGTCAAATTTATCAATCTTTGCTTTTATGGCTCCTAGGTTGGGTGCCTGGCTCAGAAATGAGCAAGACACCCCCCAACCCCCTAAATACACACACACACACACACACACACACACACAAAAAGCTTTTAAAAATTCTGTCAGTACAAAAAAGCTTGGAATGACTTGCCAGGTTTTGTGAGGAACAGGACAACTCCTGCCCTCCAGGAGATTCCAGTTTTAGGGAGACATAAACTGACTATTGCAATTCCATGGTATAGTAAATAAGAGGGGGCACAATGGGAGCCTGGGCTAGGACCACCTAATCCAGCCTGAGTTGGCCGGGCAAGGCTTTCCAAAGGCAGTGGCACCCAGGTACATCCAGAGGCATGCGTAGGAGGCAGCCAGGGGAAGAATGGTCTTCCAGTAAAAGCGGCAGCATGTGCAAAGGCAAGTAGCAACAGGGCTCGGTCAAAGTTGTCCAGTCTGGCAAGAGAACAAGGAGCCCTGCAGGGTTGGTGTGTGGTAAGGGGTGGAGCTAGGAAAGTAGACAGGGGCCAGATTACCGAGGGCCAAGAGGATACTGCCCCAAAGTCAGGGCCTTACCCTGAGGCAGTGGGGAGGTGGCAGGGGGACACATCAGCCGTGTGGAGGAAGAGCTGGAGACGATCCAGTGTGGAGGCTGGGCCCTGGCTCTAAGGCTTCTGCCTCTTGCCCAGCAGCAGCCACGGCAGCCTAGAGGCTCCAGGCTGCCAAACAAGACTGAGAATTTCAAACCCAAATGTTCTGTTCTGTCAAACTTCCAGAATTCTATAAAAATCATCAGGGAAGCTAGCACCTTCTCTGAGAAACATTTCTACCCAAGATGATGACAACTACAAGAGCTCTGACTTTTACTGTTATCAGTGGTTATCACGCCCACTTCAGCACCCCGCTGGCAGATGGGGCCAGGTAAATGCAGCTCAGATACTACCTGCCCTCCCCTCAGCTTCAGCCTGGCTCAGGAAATAGCTGGGCTCTTCAGCCCCCGCCCATTCATCCAGACCCTCATTCAGAATGGGCGACAGGATGCGGGACTGCCGTGATGGAGGGGTGGACCCCAGCTGGCCCGTGTTCATGGGGACATCTCTTTCCTTCTAGCCAACAAGGCTCAGTCCCACTATGAGCGGCCACAGACAGGCCTACGAACTTCTCTGCTCCTGTGACTTTTTAAAACAGGCATTTTGTAGCAGGTGTCCTGAGCAACTGTCCTCGCTAAAGTGCCCAGCACAGAGCCTCGCACACAGCAAGCACTCAGCAGCAGTTTCTGTTAAAACTGGAAGCCTCACCATTCATTAGGAGGTTGCTGAGGGAAAGGAAGGGCGATGTGGACAGAAGGAGGGAAGTTGGAAAACACTTAAACAGAACTTTGGGATTGCCTCTGGATTTCAGTTGTCCAGGCCCTCACCATGCCCGACCCCCAAACCAGCCAAAGAAGTTGGTTCTTGATGCTACCATTTTAGTTATATTTTCTTTAGTGCCCTAAGACAATTTTATCCCAAAGGATCACTTGATTAAGTCAAGTGCTATAGAGATAAAGGCTCTTAGAGGCTGCTGGAGGCTTGGTTCCAGCCAGCAGGCTTCCTGGGCCCTTCTAAGGCGCCTCTATTCCCCAGTGGTCCGAGGGCATGCAAGGGGTACCCGCTCACCCCGGCCTGGAAGGCAAGAGGGCAGGAAGGCAGCCCCAACCTCAGCTCCAAACAGTCAAACAAGCCCCAACCCACAGCAGCCATCAAACAGCAGTAGGTCAAAGGCAGGGTAGCGGAGGGTTTCTAGGGCAGAACATGTGTCTCTCTGGAGTCTGCTTCCCCCATCCATGTGTGCCACTGTGGGGGCAGGGGGAGGGACAGACACCGAGGTCCCCATCTCAGGCACAGAAAAGCTGATGAGGAGGACACCAGGAAGCAAGGGGCCTGGGTTCCAGGTCAGATTCCAGCCCTGCTGGCTGTGTGCCTGTCACTTGTATAAAGTGCATGTCAGCCTAGGGTCGGGGATTTTATTTTTCCCAAAATGAGACAGTCTATTTCAGTAAACGTTAGAAAAGCTCACTGGTATGAATACATATCTAGCTTTAACTTCCATTTTACTTGACATTTACTATGTGAGAGGTAGTAGGGTAGGCATTTTGCATACATTATCTCATTTAATCCTCTCAACAACTCCATGAGGAAAGTGAGGGTCAGAAAGGCTGAGCCCTGAGCCCTAGTCCCACTGCTAGTATGCGGCAGAGCTGGATTTGAACTAGGGACTGTCTGGCTTCTGAACGCTTTGCCCTTACCTGCCATACGATATAGGAACTAAGGACAGTCAGTCAGTTGCCAGCCTAGGCCCTTCCCCCGCCCCGGATCTCTAAGGCCACAGAGAGGCTCTAAAGGAAGGACAGAGTCTCCCAAAGAGTCACTTTTCTTTATTCTCAGTACCCCCGATCTCACAGCACGGTCTGTGGGAAATCTCAGGGCCTTGCCACCTCGCAGTCTTCCTTGCACCCCACCAAGAAGCTGAAGCTCCAAAGGTCTGGGGATCTCCAGCTGTGGCTCTTTCTAAAAGCAGTTCCTGGGCACAACATTGGATGGAGGTTTCTCGGTCATTCCTAAGTCCCCTTCCCAGAGCACAGGAACAATACAGCAGCTTGCTCCCCTGGCTTGCTGTGCCCATCCCAGGAAAAGGTGGGGAGGAACTCCAGAAAGCGGGTGTCTCTTGGTTGAAAGGAGTTGGGACCTGGGCCTTTGGTCTAGTTTAACCTGGGGCAGGTCACGCTCCTGGGGAGGCTCCCGAGCAGGCCCAGGCCAGACCACTACTCAACAAATGCAGAAGTCTTCACCATATCTTGCCAAAGTCCACCTTCTTCACCAACTTGGCCTGAAAACACCTGAGTTCAGAGGGACATGCGTGACAGAAATCCCCGGGTTCAATTCTGCTGGAAGGCACCGTGCTGGGAGAGGACTTCTTTCACTTTGTCCACAATGGTGCCCACCTCAGCCATGGCCCCCAGACCTAGGGAGCAGAGTTCGGCTATGACCCTGCAGACTGAAGCAGGGGACCGTCCCCCACCCACCCTCACCCACTGCTCCCCGAGTGTCCCACCCAGAGCCCAGTGCCTGAGAAGGCCAGGACCAGGCCTGAGGCAGACCCAGCAAGTCCCTTCCGAGACACCCCCGGGACAGGCCCCAGGAATAGTTACAGCAGCCATCTTGAACTGTATGGGCTGCATGCCAGGGAGGATACCAGGCAGTTTACCTAACAACTCTGAGAGACAGGAATTACCACTTCCATTTCCCAGATGAGAAAGCTGAGCTGGAGGTCACAACAGGCTGGGATCTGAAGCTGAGCCCTGCCGCGGCCCCAGGCTGTGGGAATGAGCTGTGAGCCTGGCCAGACACCCACCTTGGTCTCCACAGACCAGCTTCTTGGCCACACAGGGGATCTCGACATAGCCGAAGGCCTTGAGCTGGCCCACCTGCTGCTCGGTGATGGGGTGCTCCCACATGGCGGTGTTCATCGCCGGGCAGAAGAGCAGGGGCTTGCTGCGGTCCCAGGCCCGGATGACACAGGTCTGTGAAAAAGGTAGGGGGTGCCTGCTGCTCTGCCTGCCACCCCTCCCTGGCCTTCCCAAATCCTACCCTCTGCTTCTGGGCCACAGCCAGCTGAGGACTTGGGATGACTGGGAGCCACTGTCTGAAGGGAGCTGTCTCATACTTTGAGGGTGGGGCTGTGTCTCCTGGTCCCTCTCACCTCCCCATAGGCTCTGTCACAGGGCCCTACACACAGGAGGTGCTCTACCAATGCTAGCAATGGCCTAGCCACCTCCAAGCAGACCTCCCTTACTGTGCAGAAAGGGCTCCCTCTGCCCAAGCCTCTGTCTTCCTCACAGTCAGCCACACCTCACAGACTGAAGCAACCCTGGGCAGCTGGGGGCAGGCCTGCGGTTCCCACAAAGCTAAGGACCAGACTGCCCAGCAGGTGGGCTCATCTATCCTGACACCAGCTCTACTTGAGGCCAACTAAAGCTTGGCCATGAAAACAACATCTTCCACATGACAAAACCCTCTCCCACGTGTTATCTCATGAACCCTCACTGCGACCCTGTAAAGAAGTTGCTGTCCCATTTCACAGAGGGGAAGCTGTACTTCCCAGAGGTGAGCCATTACCCAAAGACACACCAGACGATGATCCAGGGCAAGGCTTTGCACACCGCCCATGCCATCCTCCACTGCATCGTGCAACCTCACTACCTCCCGATGTCCAGGCCATCCCACCAAGTCACATACCAGAGCAGCTATGAAAGGGACAGACCAGCTCACAGAGTCTTTAGCACTGTGAGCTTTGCAATCACGTGGACCTGGGTTCAAATCTTGCTGTGCTATCTGCTGTTACTAACCATGAGAACTTGAACAAGTTCTTTCATGCCGGGAGTATCAGCTTCCTCTCTGCAAAAGCCCTCTCACTGGGTGGTCTTGAGGGCAGAGGGTGAGAATACTTATAAAGGTCTTTGCACAAGGCCTGGCACAAAGTACAGGCTCCAGAAGTAGTAGCTCCTGTTATTATTACAGGCATAGGCTCCCTGGGCCAGGGGCTGCCTCGGGGAGAAATAAGCTCTGGGCCCCACAGGAGTGTGCTCCCCTGGGCTCTGACTGCTTCAGGCGCCTCTGCCTAGGCTGTGGGCCCCTCAGGGAGACAGCGGCTGGCACACCCCTTCCCTGAAGTGGAGCCTGTCTGCAATAAGAGGGGGAGTCCAGAGAACAATGCCACGAACACGCCAGGGAAAATGCCTGCCCTCCTCAGTGCCCCTGCCCTCTCCTGGGGACAGGAAGGAAGTTGGTCAGCACACAGCCTCAGGATCTGGGGGCTTGCGTCATCCCAGACACAGCGTTTGTTTCCCACCAAGTCCTCACAATGAGGCAACCTGGCTATGAGTGGACAGTTTCAGTCCACACTTCCTCTTGGCCCTGTGCCACCTGCTGCTTCTGCAGAAGTCATGAGCATACCTAGAAGAGTCCCTTGACTGCGTGTGGGGCGGGTGTTGGCAGGGCTGGGGTTCTAAATGACCTCAAAGGGAAGCACAGCAACCGGAGCAGAAACTCAACATCTCCATGCCCCACACCTCTCTAGCTTTTCCCACCTCATCTCAAAACTCAGCGCTTCCTGGACAAACCACAGCTCCTCCAAACCTTCCAGCGCAAGAGGGCCGAAAGGAGGCATCAGTTCCCACAGTCACTTCTGTTTGGCCCATGTTGTGTGCAGCACCTCAGGCTCTGCCCCTGGGAATCCGCGTGGGTGGAGAGAAGGCTTGGATCCGGGTCAGGAGACCAGCTGCCAGCTATACTGGTGACCCAGGGAAGTCACCTCCTCTTTCTGGATCTGCTTGGTTATTTAGCACAAAGAAGGGCTAGAGCCTGAGTGGGCCAGAGGGCAGACAGAGATGCACATCACCCAGGCCAAGGGCCCTGAGACTGGGAACACAGGTTCATACCTAGCGCACTGCTCTAATGACACCCCAAGCTCTGGACACTGGAAAGGGAGATGATCTGAAGGAGGGAGGAAGCAGGGCAAGCTTCTTTGGGGGGATATAAGGACAAAACATCTTTTGAGAGAGCACAGAGCCACAGACCATGATGACAGCAGTGTAAGATTTGCAGTTCTTTGAAATACTTGCACCTTCAAGGGAAACCTTTGAGGCAAAGGGCCTCAGGGCTGGTCCTGGGAACATATTCCACTGCTCAGCCAACTCAGTAGGAGGGAACCCCAAAGATTTCAGGGAGTGGTGGCAGCACTGAAGAAAAGAGGGAAGCAGAGCTTTCAGGAGTAAGGAAGGAGCCCTCAGAGAATTGGCCCGGGCCGGGGCTTAGCTCCTAGGGGTTGGCGTGCTTTGTCACATCAGCTGGCTACTGACCGACCAGTGGGAAGCCTGGAGATCTGGTGAGATGGTGCTGGTTACACACAATGCTGACGCACTTAGATGAAAATGGCCAGGAGCCTGACCTGCTCCGCCGTCCTGTCAGCCAGGCACTAGCCCCACCAGGAAGCCTTCTTGATAACACTGCTCCTAGGCCTGCCCTCCTCTGCACTCCCCCACCCCTGCGCCTGCCACGCAATCTGTGTGCTGCTCTTCTTCTGATCACCTGTGCTCTATTTCAAATGATGCTTAAATCACTAGCAGCTTCTTTGAGAAGTACCTTAAGCACCAATCAACAAGCATATGAGGAGACTAACATCCTATCTAACCCCCAAAACCTTGACCCAGCTTCGTTAGTCACTTCATTTACTTTGGCTGTTAGCCAAAGTAAAATGACTGATTGCCTCATACATACAATAAGCATTTCCTGAATGCCTACTACATGCCCAGTACCGTGCAAGGTGGTGACGCCATTGTCAAAGGACTGACTGTACCACACACCAGAGCATACTCTAAAAACCCTCTCCTTCCAGACTGTCAGCTCCCTGTGTCCTCTGTGTCCCTCCACACAGGGCCTGACACATGGCAAGTTAAAGCTCAATGGATGAGGGAAGAGGGATGATAAGGGAGAGGGAGGGGGACCACACCCAGTCTTCCCAAGATGATCATGTAAACAAAGGCTCTTTAAGGACAACAGCTCCCTGGAGGTCCCCCAGGCCTAAGACAATCCCCACTCTGTACAGCTGGACTTCTCTTCCTCTCCTCCACCTTGGGCCTCTCGTCCTTTCTCCTTTCTTCCCCTTTAAGCTTTCCATAATATACAGGAAAACCACATCTCAGCTTTGTGGCTAAAGCTACAGGAGAGACAAGTGTGCCTGAGAGATCCGTGCGGAAGTAAACGCTCTTATCCGATTACCCATGTGGATATCCAGGTCCTGATGGGAAGGCAGAGCTAAGGTGGGCAGGCAACGGGGTTGGGCAGGGAGACCAGCAGAAGAGCATGTTGAGGACAGCCCATGAACTATGGACAAAGAAAGAGCAGCTGAGCATCGGGGGGCAGGTGAGAGGTGGACACCCTCAGAGGGCACCCGCAAGTCGAGTCAACCCATCAGGACCAGGCCTTCTACCCACTTGCTGGAGCACAGGTGAGGCCAGGTGGAGGGTTGTCCAGGGGACTGTGTTCCGAGCAAACAGGCCCACCATAAAGGGATTCCAAGGTGAGAACAGAAGCAGTCTGCAGCTCAGCAAACTGGGAGTGAGGCCCAGGGAGGGAGGAGGGCCCAGGGAGTCACTCACAAGCAAGTTGTCACAGATGCCACTGGCCACCTTTCCCAGCGTGTTGGCATCGAGAGGAGATACCAGCATGAGGTCTGCCCACCTCCGCAGGTCAATGTGGAGAACTGGGTCGGATCGGCACTTCCACATCTGGCAGAGGGAAGGAAGTGGGGTCACCGGGCCGGCCATTCTCTCAGTGTGGAGGGAGGAGCGGCAGGTGGGGTGAGGGCCAACACAGACCAGGTACACTAAGTCAGGAACCCAAGGGAGACCACCTGAGAGACCCCTGCCCAAGTTCACTGCCACCCCTCTTGCAGCTAAGCTGGTGAACATTGGCTGTGGAGCCAACAGCCTGAGAGAAACCAGCCCTGAGGAAACAAACGCCCCTTGTCTCTCTGAGCTATTCCCTTTATGGTTTGGTTTTCAAGAGAACTGACATCTGGCAGGGAACTCCTGGCCTGTCTGCTTGAGGCGGATGCTTGGGTTGTCCAAGCCAGTGGAAAGGCTCTGGGCGGTGAGAAATGGAGGGGGCGGGGTGGGGAAGACGGGCCAGCCAGAAATGTTCTAGGCTGAGAATGTTTAAAAATGCCTGGCAGGGCACCCCTGTGAGGCCCACACTCGATGTCTAGTGAATCGGCCAGTGCCCGCCCCTCTGCAGGAGAGCAAAAGCAGAGCCCGGCAGCCGTGGGAAGTGAGGCACTCTCCACAGCCCCGACGCTGGGAGCCGCGTGGACAAGGGTGGCGGGAACAGAGCCCCTCTGTGGTTTCATCAGCCCAGATAAATACAAGGACACTCACCCTCAGGCCCAGGGCCAAAGCTGAGGTCTGCCTGAGGTGGGCGGAGACTGTGGGCCTCCTGCAGGCCAGAGCTAGACAGATGTTTTCCTCATTGCCTCTGCCCGGAGAGCCCTGACCGCTGACTTGAGCCTGGCCTGTCTGCTCCGGCCACCAGAGCCATAGGCTGCAGGGAGGATGGTCCTGTCCTATTGGTACAAACATGATGGAACTCAGCCCTGGGGCCCCCAGCACTGACCTCCCATTCATCAGCGTCGCTGTAGAGGGTGACAGGAACATCCTGGGGACTGTAGAAATGTTTGGCTCTCTCAGTTGTGACCACTGCTACTTCCAGCTGTCACCAAGAAAAAGTGGAGTGGGGGTGGAGAAGGAAAGAGAAACTTACCAGAGCCACCGGCCTGGAGGCCACACGGGGCCAGGCCAGCAAGAGCTTTCCTCACAGCCTGGCTGTGCAGAGGACTTCTCCCTCCGAGGCAGCGAGCCCCATGTTTGCATAGCTACTTCCGCTGTCACCCGAAGGTCAGGCCTCACCAGGTGCAGCCGTTTCACTTCCCTATCTGAGGCGCTGCCGAGGAATGAGTCACCAACTGCCCAGCGTATATAAAGCTGCAGGCTCCTGCCGCTCAGGCAGAGACAGACAGGAAGGGAAATTAGGGCAAGAAGGCCACGCAGGCCATGGCAGGCAGGAGGGGCCACCCCAAGGAGGCTCACAGGTCCTGAGCTCTGGGCCACGCCACAGATCTGCCCTCTGCAGGCAAGGGACTGGGGAGCTGGGGTCCTGCATGTGGTGTCTGCAGCCATGGCCCAGAGAGAAAGCAGGCAGAGTCCCTTGCCGTACTTCTAGGAACAAGGCTTCGTGGGCTCTGGCTGCAGACAGGCTCCAGGAAAAGCAAACCTGTGTGCCCTACACTCATGGGGCAAGAGTGATATTTACCTTCACACTACTCATTTAGCAGATAAATTAATAACGCAAACAAGAGGGATGGTTAAGGTGCTTAACAGACAGAAACAGCACATGATAGGGTGAACAGCACTAGACCAGTTCCCATTACTTGTAAAACGAGATGTCAGACTAACAAGCATGCAGATTAAAGGGGCCCAGAAGAGGTGGCTGGGAGGGGAGGGGTGTAGGAAATCACATCTTTGGGGGACATTTATCCAGGAGGGAAAAAAGTCAAGGGTGACAAGGACAGAATCATCAACTAACCAGAGCAAGGGTCATGGGTGGCAGTGTCTGGGCTAGATGTGCTCTTTGGCCTGCATGGGGTTATAAACTTTTTTTTTTTTTTTGCTGCGCCAGGCAACACGTGGTACCTTAGTTCCCCGATCAGGGATCGAACCTGCGCCCCCTGCAGTGGAAGCATGGAGTCTTAGCCATTGGACCACAAGGCAAGCCCCGGGTTATAAACATTTTTAAGCCAAAATATACAAATTGGGAGATTTCACACAGAAAATCCAATTTCCTGGCTCCTTTTAAAAACCTGACTGGGACTTCCCTGGTGGCGCAGTGGTCGGGAATCTGCCTGCCAATGCAGGGGACACGGGTTCAAGCCCTGGTCCAGGAAGATCCCACATGCCGCAGAGCAACTAAGCCTGTGAGCCACAACTACTGAGCCTGTGCTCTAGAGCCCGTGAGCCACAACTACTGAGCCTGAGAGCCACAACTACTGAAGCCGGCGCACCTAGAGCCCGTGCTCCGCAACAGGAGAAGCTACCGCAATGAGAAGCCTGCTCGCCGCAACCAGAGAAGGCCCACGCGCAGCAACAAAGACCCAATTCAACCAAAAATAAGTAAAATAAATAAATTTATAAAAAAACAAAACAAAACTGAGTGCTCTGGCACTGCTGGGCCCACATTCCTGCTTGAGAATGACTTGGTGGGACTTGGTGGGGCTGCCTCTTTGGATGGGCCGTGCCCATGCCATTTCAACCTAGTCCCTGCCCCTCCCTATCATCTCACCAAGGCTCCCTCTCCTCATTTGTTTCCTGCCTTTTGTGGGTTATCAGACACTGTTCTGCACAGTACCTAGGAGTAAAGCTGGAACCAGGGAGTAGAAATCTCAGAGAGGCAGACTGCAGAAGAACTTCAAAAGGTCTGGTGCTCCCAGCTCTGCTGAAGAGCTCTCAGATTTGTCCATTCTCCCACTCACTCCCTCTTGGAACCTACCATCCCCCAAACTTGCACAAAACCTGAGGGACCTCTTTAATGGTCATTTAAACCAAACTCCTTTTGAGCTGGGGAGTCCCTTCTAGGATAGCCCTGAACGAGCCTGGTCCAGTTCTGAACAAGATGGCAAATGAACAGGGCTGCTGTCCCTCCATGGAACCCAGCCCTGAAGATGTCACAGGACCAGCACAGGGAGAGCAGTGAAAGGCAGGATGGTGCTGAGACTCTTAAGACACAAGACAGTAATGACGTAAGGTGTGGGGCATAGTAAGTTAGAACTAACCACAAGAAGAAGAATATATAACTTTCGAAACAGCAGAAGAAAATTCAATCTACACAATAAAGGATAGGGAAAGGAGAAAAAAAAAAAGCAGAGAGAACACATGATAAGCGGAAAGCATTAAATAAGATGGAAGAAGTCCTAATAGAATAGCAATTATAGTAATTATATAATTGGCTAAACTCCCTAATCAAAATTCAGACTCTCATACTGGATGTTTTAAAATCCATCAATCACATCAAAATGTGTCTGAAAAGACACATTTAAGACAAAAAGATATATAAAGCTTAAATAAAAGAATAAACTTTCAGTTAAATAAAGTGGATTAAACTCTACTCCCTCTCAAAAGCCCACTGAAATAAAAGTAAAGGGATTTTTTTAAAGGTATGAATCACCAAAACAAAGAGAAGAGGACAAAAACATAAACAAAAACCCAGCAGTTAAGATATATCAACACATAAGATATGGAAGTGGAAGGAAGCATTAACAGATCAGATTAGATCAGACAGGATCAGATTTTTTTTTTTTTAATGAACATTCCAGGAACAAAAAGGAACTCTTGGAAATTAAAATTATAAATAGTCAAATAAAAAATTCAATATAAGTTTAGAAGAAATTTTCCAAAAAGTAGAAGAGAAAGATAAAGAGATGGATAATACTATTAAAAAAGATGAGGTGGTCCAATGGTTAAGACTCCACGATTCCACTGAAGGGGGCAAGGGTTTGATCCCTGGTTGGGGAACTAAGATCCCACATGCCGCATGGCACAGCCCAAAAAAAAAAAAAGATGAGATCAGAAGACCAACTCAAGAGGTCCAAAATCTGACTAATAATGAGTTCCTGAAAGGGAGAACATAAAAATAGAGGGGTGAAAATTACAAAAGAAATAAAATGAAATTTCCCCAAACTGAAGAACTCAGAGGTAGGAGCCATCTCTTCTGCCTACAGAGCTCTGAGAAGGTGGCAACCTGTTAGGCTCAGGGAACCTGAAGTCTCATGTCCCTGGCATCCACTGAGTATAAGTCAATGGAGCCTGAGCCCACATCAGCTCTCCTGGAAGCCACATCCTCCTACTGAAGTATATAGGGTTTGCAATCAGCAAAACCTCACAAGTTCTTTTCACCCATGTTGCTACTAAACCACAAGCCCCAAACTGTACTTGCGTTGTTACTTTCCCAAATGTAGCCCCTCACATTTCCCTGGTGCATCCCACCTTTCCAGAGTTGGCCCAGTGTTTGCTCAGTCTATGTAAAGAGCTCCAAAAATTTCAATCCTGTTCCTCCTGGCCTGTTCTCAGCCAGTACCACCATCAGTAGCCCCAAGACACAAATCCAAATGATGAAAAGGACAAGGTCAAGAGCAGAGCCCTTCGCCAAGGTCCACAGGTTGGGCAGCTGGGGTGGGAAAGAATCAAGAATGAACCCTTTCCAAGTAGGATCTTTCCCTGATTATAAACATGCTGATAACATTACCAGGTGGTCCAGGGGGATGTCCTAAGATTCCATCAAAGCCCTCACCAAATCCAAAAATACTCTAATATCCAAAATAAAATAAAATAAAATTGATATGGCTTGTCCCCAGTGAGCCCAATCAAACCCCAGTAACAACCATTTTCTAAGTGCTTTTCTAAGGGCTCACAAGCTTTTTCTAATTTGTGGAGCCTACCTCTTCCGCCTTTTTGATAAATGGACATTAGTCATCTCCAGCCTCTAGCCCCTCTGCTGTTTCCCACACATCCTGTAGGTCACCAACCACAACCTCAGCACCCCAGGACAGAACCTGCCAAGTTCAGGAGATGAATCACCCAACTTGGGTTCAAGTCTCTTCTGCCACCATTGGTCCTTTTTCAAACTCAAAAGAAAACAATGGAAGCCAAGTGGACTCAAGAGTCCCTGCCATTTCTTTCTGTCCCCCCACTAATGTTATACCATTGGCCTCCAGGACCAGGCATTGTTCCATTGCTCTTTTTCTAAATATATGTAAGAGCCCTCTTGGTCGTTCTGAGTTTCACTGCAGGCTTCAGCTCACTCTGGTGACCTCTGGACCATATTCTACCTTTATCTTTGGTTATATGTTCCTCCTTTCCATTTAACTGCTTTCCAGTTTCCTTCAACAGATGGCTTCAACAGACATATCAGTTTCTGGTCACTGCCTTCTTTTCCTTAAGAGGACTACTTTCTTTCATTTCTAGGAGCTTCCTGACCATCCTGAACAATTTGCCACTTAAGATCACCCCAGTTCATCCTCTCTCTATTCTGAAATTTGGAAAGCTGCTTCCTGAAGATCGAGTTCCCCTACTCTCCCCAACTCCCAAACGGCCTGCCAGTTCTCAAAGTGAGGATTGTGCCTAGGGCCAGCCTTCAGAAACATACCCAGTTTGGTGATGGCCCTGTTCAGGGGCTCCCTCCTCCCTCTCAGCTCTACCTTTTCCTTCCCTCTGCATCCCCCTCACAGTCTCCCCCTGGCTCCTGGGGAATTCCAACCAGGGGTCCAAGTAGGCCTCCCACCCTGGTCCATAGCTGCAGCTTGAGATCTTCCCCTTAAGATCTTCCCCTAGTCTCTCAATCTATCCGTCTCTGGCTACCCTCCCAGGTTACACTGTCATTGTTAGGGAGCTTCTTGGGGTAAATGTCTTTCCTAAAGAGTAATGTGAAGAGTATGTAATAAGCCCATCCTTCCCAATGTCCCTCCCTTGACCCCTATCAAGCAGCCACCTCTCCTTGGCAGTGACCCTGACCCCAGTGTTGTCTGGCAAGCCCAGGCTAGTTTTTCTGGTTTTAGAAGTATGTCACTTGATCTGATTCTTCAGTCCTGTGGGCTTTGTTCTTTCATTTTCATTCACTCGGTAAAAAGGTCCTGGGAGCCAAGAGCTAGGCCCTGGGTTGGCACACATTAAAAAAAAGAAGGCATGTTGTGTTACCTTCTGAGATACTAAATAACTTGGGCTAGTCACTCATTCACCCTGACCTTTCCCTCAGCAAATGCTAAGGAGTCTCGGCAGAGCAGAAAACTCCTGAGGACAGGAACCCTCCTTGGCTTTCTCTTACACCCTCCTGGGTCATCGTAGAAGCGGGGCTGGACATTAAAACAATCTCTCACACACATCAGAGTTCCTGAAAGGCAGCTCTGTGCTTGGCCCCCTGGCGAGACCCTGGCCAACAGTTTTTATGTCTTAATATTTTTAACCTGAACTTCTGTGTGATGTGACCAAGGCTTGGCCAGACCCTATTACATAAGCTGCCTGCATTTTGCTTAGCATTTATAGAGATTTCTTCCTGAAACCAATTGGCAAGTCTGGTGTTCCTTTCTCTGTTGAAAATACATCAGCAATCCCATCTGGGGCTCCTGGGGAGTCAGGGAGGGGAAATGGAAAACAGAATTTGGGGCAATACTTCCATTTTTACTTTTAGGCCCCTGGTCTGGCCCAGGCTGCTTCTGGGACAGATATCAAAGGGATCTGTGGAGAAGCACTTTCACAGCCACAGGATGAGATAAATCCCATGGCTTGAATGTCCACCTCCAACCTCATCTCTGGCCTCTAAGCATTACAACCATGAGCCAGTAGCACCCTCTCCTCAAGTAGGACAACCAAAATGACATTGTCCAGTGTTCCCTAGGAGGCAAAACTGCCCCAGTTGAGAACCACTCTCTACAGAATCATCCACTAGAACTCTCTGCAGTGAAGGAAACATGTCACACCTGTGCTG